ACAATGTCTTTAAATATATTTAATACACACAGTGAAAATTTTTATTTTAAATATTTATGAGTAATTTAGAAAATATTTTTTTTAACAAAAGTGATAAAAAAATTTATATATAGTGATTTTTATTGTAAAGTACATGATATTACTAAATTGAATATATTAATAATATTAAATAATTTAATTTTTTATAAGTGTATTATTTATTAATTTTTTAATCATTTATTGTGTTTAAAAGAAACATTTCTATAATTTTTTTATTACATTTGTTATATAATTTAAAATTTTATTAGCTAGAATCATTAAGATTGGAATTAAATATTTAAAATAGTAAATATTTATTAAAAAATAAAATTTTTATTATTTTTAATAAAATTGTATGTCAACACATATAAAAAATGTTTGTTAAATATACAACTAATTAACTTGTTTATCTAGACACCAATTTTTTTATTGAAATTACAAAATTTAAAATTTTAATTTTTCAAATATACTATTTATTGATTTATTTTATTAATCTTTACTAACCAAGTTGAAAGGCATTAAAAAGAATATAAAAGTGAATGTATTTTATGTTTTTTAACAAAATATTTTTATTCTGTATCCTTTAATTAATGCCCTTGAGACTTTGATTAACATTTTTTATGTGCCTTTGGATATGTAGTTAAAAAAAATTATCTTTAAAATATAATATATTTTAGCTATTTTAAGATGTAAAAGATATATATACTTATTACTTTCATATTAAATGTCATTATAATACACTTGTTTTAAGAAAATACTCATTTTATTAATACACTATCATAAAATAAAATAGTTTTACTAAAATGTCTTTTATTAAAAGTGTTGGAGTTATTAAATTAGTTAAGTAATAATTAATTTTAAATTTATTTTAATACATATGTGTCTAACTTGTGGAATATTACACAAGATTGTACAATAAAAACTTATATTTAATAAGATATGCTTTTATATCTCAAAATTTCTCCGTTCAGGCTCTTACGCTATTTGTGATTTAAAGTTATTTTATGTTTATTATAGGGGTAATTATTTATCACTCTTAAGGCTTATTAATTATTAAATTTAGATTAAATGACTCTTTCCTTTCAATAATTAGTTGACGTTAAATGTAGAAAGCTGCATGCGAGAGTCTAATCAAGGATGACCATGACCAATTTGTTGCTAGGTTCTATTGTATGTTTATGTAATATTGAATATAAGACAGAGAAAATATATATAATAGAAAAATCAAATTTATTTATCAATTTGAATTTGATTATTTTATAAAAATAATTAATTTTGAATCAATGATAAATAGACCTTCAGTTTTTTACTCCAGAGGAGAATTATTACTTGTTAAGATAGTTTAAGTTTTGCTTACAGTGTAGATGTTATATATTTATTAAAAAATTGTTGAAAAATATTTTTTAAATTACAATAAAATGTAAAATATACACGTTTTTATATTATTGATTAATAAATTTTTTAACTTTTTATTTTATTAAAAAATTATTATTTGAGTATTTATTATTTTTTATACAAATAAATATATTTAATTATTTAATATATAAGACATCAATATATTCATTTAATATAAAGAGTACTTTAAAATAAAACATAAATTTATATTATATAATAATGTTTGTTAGTCTAAATAATTCATTTATTTGGAGCATTTTAGTTAATTACAAATTCTATATATATATACTTTTAATTGCATAAAACTTTTGTTTATATGTTGATTTTAAGGAAAAAAGGATTTGACAATAATTTTTACTTGAGAGTTTTTGAATGTGAAAAGTTTTTATAAATTCTTTAAAATTTGTATAAATTCAAAATTTAATTTTTTTAAAAATTATAATTTATTTTATTAATTTTTATTTTTTTTCTCGTTTCTTAAACTCTTTTATTTTTTCTTTCTCTAAATTTTTAAATAAAATTTAAAATAAAAAGCAAGTATCTTTGATAAATAAAGGAAGTAATATTATTATAAATTCATTAAAATATTTTTAAAATAATTTTTTTAAACATATAAAGTAAATAATATTACTATGTATTTAATCTTTTAAAATATTAAAAAAATATTTATAAAGAATGTTAATTCGTTATTGCATTTTACATACACTTATTTTTCGATGTTATCCAATAGTGATTATTAGCTACAGTAGATATTTATTTTTAATGAATTTAGTTACACCAAAGATAAACTTCTATTTAAGGAATTTTTTTTATACGGTGTCTTGCGAATTGAAAACAAAATATCATTTCTTTTTTTCTCTCTCTTAATAAAGTCCTCTTTATTAGAAAAAAAAAACAATTTATACAAAATATTTAAATTTTGATATTCACACTGCATGTCTTTTAAAATTAGGGTATATAAATTAAAAAATATTATTAATATATTTATTTATAATAAAATTGTTTTTAAACTTTATTATTAATCACATAAATTAATTAATACATGATTATTTTTTGAGTTTAAATTTGAATAAATATAGTTTTATAAAGAAGAATATATGTAATTTGACTAAAAATATATATATTTGTAACTTTTTATTATATTTTTTATATATTTTATCGATTGAACTCTTACCATTTTTATTTTGGGTAAATGTGTAAAATATTCAATAATTATGTAACAATATTATAATTAGGAATACAAAAATTAATGTTGTTTTGTATACTTAAAAAGACAAATGAACAGAGATAATATGAATTTCACTAAGACAGATAAAAGAAACGAATGTTATAACAAAGATAGTAATCATAGTACTATCATTTCTAATCATAATAATGTTTTCATTAAAATTATATATTTTTTACATTTTATTAACTTGTCATTTTAAGAGTATTTAGCCCATATATCAAAATAGGGGATATGTGTATAATTAAAAAAAAAAATAAACATATTTTTTTCAATAAAAGAGTATATAATCACCATTAAAGTGTGGTTAATGTAATTATTGTTAAATTTTAAAAGTATTAATTGAGTCATAAACATATCTAATGAATTTGGTTTTTTTTAACATCAGCAAAAAGTAAATTTACTTTTTAAAGTAAAGTTTGTAATTCACACGAATTTTATTTTAAAATAAAATATATTTCAATAATAGAAAGATAAATTTTATAAGTTTTTTAAATAATTATATATAATATAAAATAACAATTTTTTAAAATTATTTCCAAAATACAAAACAATAAAAATAATTATCAATATAAATGTTCATAAAAAATTTAAAAGTTTATGCATAACAAAATAATAATAACTTTTATTTCTAAAATTTGAAAAAATTAATAAAAATAACAAATAAATATTAAACTAATTACGACGAGAAATAAAATATTTTATATATAATTTTCAATCAATTTCAATTAAAAAGTATTTAACTATAAAAGAAAGTAATCATATGTCTTATTTTTAAAATAAAATATGATAATTTATAATATAAAATTTAATCGGTCAAAAATTATCTTCTAATATTAATGCATATTTGTCTAAATCTCTGAAAATAAAAGTAATATTCTTTTATATTTTAAAATAATTTAATTTTATTCAATAAAAAATTATTTTGAATTTATTTAAAAATAAAAAATAAATTATTTTATAATTTTTTCTACACTGCTTTAAAATAAAATTATTTTTTATATAAAACTTATATAAAAATAATATATATAATAATTTTAAATTATTCTAATAAATATATTTAATATAATCATAAATATAATAATTATATTTTAAAAATAAAAATAAATAATAAATTTAAAATTAAAATAAAAATTTTAAATATTATTCTTATTAATTTATAATTTAAACATATGAGTGAAATGTTAAATTCATAAATAAAATTTTATATAGACATATAAATTTAGTTTCAATTAAATAAAGTTTCAAAATAAGATCTCAAATTCAATTTGATCTAATAAAAAATATTTACGTTTTACAAGTTTTTAGCTTGTTCAATTTTTTTCTTATTAATTCAGATTTTAATTTCTGGTTCGCTTTTTACGATTTATATTAAATTGAATTAGTGGATGAACGCTCCCTTTATATATTACACTATATTTATTATTTGTACTAAGATAAAAAAATTTAAAATTTAAATATGAAGTTACTGTTATTATTTTTATGAAGATATAATTTTAATATTTTTATTATACTCTATCTATTTCATATTTTAATTATACACTATATTTTACGATTAACATCTGTATCAAAGTGTCTATAAGCTATTTTTAAAAATATTATATTTATTTTTTATTTATTTGTAAAGAGAAAGAAAAAATTACATAAAAATATAATTTCAGAAAATAATTAATATTATGTTTAACTACTATATGTAAGAATAATAATTTTCTTTTCTCTTTTAGAAAAAAAAAGAAGAAGAAATAGAGATCATAACAATAATTTTATTAAAAAAATGTTAATTAATACTCAAAAGATACTAATTAAAGGATAAAATTATTTTTATTAAAATTATTATCAGGCTTTCTTAATAATTTTTAATCCATTTTTTACTAAAATTTGTCAATTTATTAGTTAACCAATACCTTTAGAAGCAATACTTTTTAAACTAATATCTTGAAGGTAACATATAAGAAGTTAATATAAAATATATTTTTGAAAATTTATGATGACAGATTAATAATATGAAATATTACATATTTTAATAAAAGAATATTTTTAATCATTTAAATATTGTCCTATGCGTAATGATTTAAATAAATTAATATATTAAAGCAATATAAAATATTAACGTGTGTTTTTTTTTTTATAATTGTCTCAAGGTTAAATTGAATAAAATAATATATTTTTATTCATTATCCTATTTCTATATTTTGGAATTCAGCACAGTATGCAAATATTTAATTAAGGTTATTTCATCATAAAAGTATTAAAATAACAGCAGGAATAAATGATTTAAAAATATGAAAAAGCAATCCGGAAATCATGAAATTCACTTGGTGGAGATTACAGTGTTTGACGGAGGGCATAATCGTCCGAGAAACACAATTCCTGGTGAAGCTAAAAAGGAACAATGGCGGAACCAAAAGAAATGGAAGAGCCTCCAAAAACCTCATAAACCCTCTTCTCTCTGTCACACACTCACGCGCACGCGCACGCGCAAAGGCACAAACAAGAACCTCGAAGCTTCTCAGAGGGACAGCATAATCATTCATTTCGTTCATTAATGGCAACTCATCTTCCCGACCACTTCAAGTGTCCAATTTCGCTAGAAATAATGTCGGACCCTGTCATCCTCTCTTCGGGTCACACCTTCGACCGTTCCTCAATCCAACGGTGGCTCGACGCTGGCCACCGCACATGTCCAATTACCAAACTACCCCTCCCAGACCAACCTTCCCTCATCCCCAACCACGCTCTCCGAAGCCTAATCTCCAACTACACCTTGCTCTCACCCCTTCACCAAAACATTTCCCTTTCCCACCCCGAAACCCTAATTTCCACCCTGGCTTCTCCCTCTTCAACCCTCGATTCCAAAATCGACGCGCTGCGCCACCTCACGCGCCTCTCCAAGCGCGACTTTGTCTTCCGCCGCCGATTAACAGACTTCGGCGCCGTCTCCGCCGTCCTAGCCGCCGTCGACGATCCCCTCTTGCAGGAGAAGGCGCTCCCGCTTCTCCTCAACCTCACTCTCGACGACGACTCCAAAGTCGGCCTCGTCGCCGAGGGCGTCGTGGCGCGCATCGTCGCCGTACTCCTCTGCGGCGCGTCGCCCGATTGCCGCGCAGTCGCGGCGACGATCGTCACGAGCCTCGCCGTGGTGGAGGTGAACAAGGCGACGATCGGCGCGTTCCCGGCGGCGATCGGAGCACTGGTGGCGATTCTCCGGGAAGGCAAGGGGAGGGAGAAGAAGGAGGCGGCGACGGCGCTCTACGCGCTCTGCTCTTTTACCGATAACCGGAGACGAGCGGTGGATTGCGGGGCTGTGCCAATTTTGCTGAGGAATGTGGATTGTGGGCTTGAAAGGGGTGTTGAGGTTATTGGCGTTTTGGCAAAGTGTAAGGAAGGGAGGGAACAGATGGAAGGTTATGATGGATGCGTGCAGATTCTGGGTCGTGTTTTGAGGAATGGTAGCTCAAGGGGGATTCAGTATGCACTGTTGGCACTCACTTCGCTTTGTTTTTATAGCCAGCGAATGGTTTTGGTGGCTCTTGAAGAAGGGGTTCTGGAAGTTTCTTTTGGGTTGTTGGAAGATGATAATGAGAAAGTGAGGAGGAATTCCTCTAATTTGATTCGGGTTCTGCGTGGCAACAATCACCACCGGCTGAAGTGATGATGGTGGAAACCGAAAAGTCTCAGTTTTGATGAGAAGAAAGATTTGATTGTATCCTCTGTGGAGGTGAGTTATTAATTTTTTTTTTTTTGGGGTTTGTTGATTCTGCCTTGTTGGGTGGGTCCTCTGTACAAAATGGATAAAAAAGATCAATTTTTTGGTTGTGAATGTGATAGGGTTCTTTTGTATCTTGTATATTGAATAATGATGATGGGCTAGCTCTCTGGTGTTAGTTTAGCTTTTCTAATGGGAAAGGTTATGATTGATCCTTTGAAATGTAGTGTCATAGTTCGATAGTTTCTACTGGCTTCCTCTCAATTCTGCTATAGTGGGTTAACAATTAAACGTCTTGATTACAAATTTCCAACTTCCAAGCTGTTTTCCAGACAAGTCTTTCCTTTATATATGGGCAGTACTTTTAGTATGTTGTGATCGAAATTTTAATGTCAATGTGTATATGTCCTGGTAAAAACTGAAGGGTAGTAGTGAACTGAAGTGTAGTGTCACTACTACCCTTCAGATGAAAGAAAAAGAATGGTTGAAAGTAAGCTTGAAATGAAGAGATATAATTTTGAATGTTTTGTTTCTATATCTTTGTTTCGTCCTTCTTTTCTCTTAAACCAGACAAGAGAAAATTTCAAACACTTGAAATTTTCTTTCCTATATATATATATATATATATATATATATATATATATATATGTTCCCACAAAATTCATTAGTAAAACCGCTTGTTCTCCTGAATTGTGACACGTGTTCAACCTCTCATTTTCTCGAATTGTGAGACGCGTACAATTTGAGCAGTTAGTTTTATATCCATCATTGTGCTACAGTGTTACAACAATATTTCTACGTCTGGACTGAGTTGTTCTTGCATATAAGCATGTGTGGAATAAATTTCAAATGAATGAAATTTTAGATTAATTTTCATGAACAAATAATTATGTTGGTCTACCGTTTTGGGAAAAAGACATGTTTAATATATCATGATATAAGTAAATATTTAGTTAATCAGCGAAAGTTTTGACCAAAGAATTTTTAGATGGCTACAAACAAAATACTAAAATTGAAAGAACCATTGTGCAAGTATACTAGTAACCTCTTTTGTTGGATCTGAACATAAAAAGGTCGCTTGGAAACATCTTTTATACTCAAATACACTGGTTGGAAGATACTTCAAACTCCCGATTTATGTTTTGATGGTTTTATACGCTGGTTGACATTTTACTCCAATTTTCTATCAATCTTTTTTCTTTTTAAATGGTTTTACCATGGCTGTTGTTTGATATTTAAGAATGTAATGCTGAGTGTTTTTTAAGATAGGCATCCATATTTAGGGTTTCTTAGTTTCTTCCTCTCCCCTCCTCTTTATTTTATTTTATTTTATTTTAATATTTGACCTTTTGCGTTACTGTTAGGGTTGTGGCTTGTAAGGAACTTTTGATTGATTGTTTACTTTTGACATGGTGCTACTTGAAAATGGAGGGGACGAATTGTTTAGTCTGAAGCATTTTCTGCATTTTGCTAATCCTTCACAAGATATGTTTGACAAATGGGGTACAGGACCCTGCATCATGTGATCAGTACTGCTTTATGCATATTTAAGTGTTTGGATAGGTGGTTGGCTTGTAGCATAAAGAACTTCATCCATGTAATATAATTGCTTTTATCTACTAATAAATGTGTTGTCTTGGGGGTAGGGGAAGAGTTATTAATAATTGGTCCTTGCACAACTCGGTTCAGGATTGTAACAAAAAATTTACTTTCTATAATACTTTAGTAGTACGACCAACTCTTTGCTTGGCCATTGAAGTACATTCATACGAGTTTCAGTGGTTTGTGCACATGCCATGTGGCAAGTTTTAATTACTAATAATGCGAGTATACAATCCCAGTCTTATTTGAAAGGCTTCTGTACAGTTTAAGTAAGTGTAAATAGTCTATCTATTGTGATATTGTTAAAAGTTTCTAGGAGATTCTAACTGAAGATTGAGGATGTGCTCAGGATATATAGCTTATGCAGTTGTCGTCTGGCTTGTGGTTTAAAAAGTATGAGCTATTCTCAGTGATTTCCACTATGCATCCCATTCTGCTCTTAAATTTAGTTGCCAGATATAATAGAGAAATGCAATCATAAATTTTTCTGTTGATTTTTTTGCATATAAAATACTTGTTTCTTGACATGTTGAGGATGTTGTCCAATTCTTAAACATCATCACAGATAACACCCGGTATATGTCTCAATTTTTCAAGAGACAAGTTGCTACTTTGTATGGTTTTATAGTAGATAGCAAAGCAATTGTTTTGTGTGTTTTCTGTGGTGGTATTTGGCAGGTAATTTGGTTAGGCCTCCGAAGGTCGTTACTGCAGGTTGTTTAATGTACATTGTCCGTGTGATTAACAATATTGATGCCGAATTTAGTACATGGTCTGATAAATACTTAAATTGCAGAGCATATGATTCTCAATGAATTCAGTTTTGATTCACTCGAAGAGTTTTACTGTAGTAGTGTATCTGTCACGAGAGTGGATTGGTCAACATACTTTTTATAGCATTTGATAGCTTTCTTGATATCTTTTTATTCTTCCCAACCCTGTTTTTTTTTTCTTTAAATAATTATAATTATTATTTATAGTTGAACGATTCCTTGCCTACATAAGAAGGCAGTGGGAGTTGATAAAATTATTAAATTAAAAGAGTTGTTTCATTTGGGAAGTTGACTTAGATTTGTTTTATTTTAGGTACATAAAAAATGTTTACATGCATGATTTCAAGTTTAACAGTTCTAACACGTTAGCAGGTATTATCGGATTATGATTGCAATGATTATTAAATAATTGGTTCGAGTCTGATTGCATTTATAATTTACAATGTCTCTCACTCACGAATCTCGTGAACCGTGTGCAGTGTGCTTAACAGCGTTCCTAGAATTTTCTATCAAAATTTTTTACATTATCGTGTATTCGTGTTACTTCTCAGATGCTTCCCCGATTAGAAAATTATTATGCAGTTTATAACTTATCGATGGAGAATGTACATTTCCAAACAGTTAATTGAAAGGGTTGCTTCTATTGGACTTCACAAGAACTACTATTGCTACTAAATTTTAATTTGGTAATTTCTTATTTGTGTGTGTATATTCATTGATTAAAATGTTTTTGTCCAGTCAGTTTAGATAGGTTATAATTTATTTACCCAGTTTAAAAGCTTGTTGATCAAGATATAAATATTTACTTAACGAGTATTTTATTGGTTTATAGCTTTTTTCAAGTGTAACGTGAAGTAATAGTTAAGATTATAAACTATTATCGTTTTATTTTTATCTTTCATATTTTAATTTTTTAATCCTCTTTCCTTATATTATATTTTTATTTTAATAATTTTTATGTGATATTTTGCTAGTTATTTTAATTATTATATTTTGATCATTATTTATTTTTTATAAATAAATAATCGATTTTTAAATTTTAAAAAATGAGATTTCTAAATTAACAAATTACCTCTAGACAAGTATACTTGTTGAGAATAATAGAATAAGTATTCAAAATTCTTAATCAGACTATTGCAACAAGTATTAGATGTATTAAAATTGAAAATGGATGAACCGACAAAGAAGAGGGATAAATTTCACGAATATTTAAAAGATTAATTAATTATCAATGGCCAAGAGCTTTAGTTTTACTTATAAACATTTTGATATTCTTTCGTTTTTATCATTTCATCATAGATGACCATATAGCTAATTATTTATTCTAATTTTACTATTTTTTAATGATTATGCAGTAATCATATTATTTTCTTTATTAATATACTTAATAGTCGTGCAATACAACTAATAATAAAGAAATCATGAAGAATAAACGAATTTGTTAATTTAATAACTGACCAAAAAATTTAAAATTCTAATTGGTTGTTTAAAACTTTAAGTTTAATGTATTTTAACAATTCACTAACTAGTTAATGGTATAAATAGGAGTGTAAATGAGTTGAGCTGAATTTAATATTTAAAATTCAAACTTGACTTCGAAAAAAAAATACCAAACTTGATTCATTTGATAAATAATTTTAAAGCTTAGACTTAACTAAGTTAATTTGTTCATAAATTTTTTAATTTTTCAATTTTTTATTAATTTAGTATTTAATAAATATTTTTATACTAAAAAATAAAGTAAAATGATAATAAAATATAATTTTATCAACATGAAGATGATTTAAGATTAAAAATAAAAAATATTATAAAAATAGTATATTTCTTTAATAAAATATAATTTTTAAGTAACTATAATAAATAAAATTATAATTATCCAAATGCATATATAAATGCGAGTTATTCACAAGCTATTAATGTCAAACTTCCAAAGTTTAAATTTTATTTATTTAAATAATTGAGTCTAATTTTATATTTAAATTTATTTATTTATTTAATTAAATAAACTAATTAGAATTTAATGAGTCAAGTTCAAGTAATTTACATGTAACTCAACTCATTTATACTTCTTAGTACAATCATCTCTTTTTTAATTAATTAAGAAATATTAAAGATGATTAATTTTAATAAAAAAATAAAAAAATGAGACAAACACGTAAAAATGTAAAATCAAACTAAATCACATAAATAATTTATATTCTTGTTTAGAAATAACTAGAAACCAAAATCATATACATAGATTTTATAATTGTGCAAAAGAGGAAAGAGACAAATAGAAATTGAGGAATATATTCTAGAATGACCTTTAAGATAAAAAGAATAGCAATAAATAAGAGATAGATAATGATAAAGATATTTCTAATGAGAAATAATGAGATGAGATAAGATATATTATTTTTTAATTTAAAAAATTTAAATTTAACATGACTATATTGTTAAGCTAAATAAGACTACTATAGGCGATAAAAAAAATTCTTTAAATATTTAACATAACTATGTTAAATATTCATAGGGAGAATTTCAATAGTTATATTTAGTCGAATAAATTTACTTCTCGTAGATGATACTTCTAGTCTAAAAAAATTATAAAATTATTTTTATTTAATTTTATATTTGTTAGTTAGATTAATGGCTAATTTTATCAAATTTTTTTACTTAATAAGTTAGTTAAATAGTTATTAGCTAGATTATTATTTTTCTAAAATTTTTCAATTGAAGATATGACTATCAACCTTAAAAAAAAAATATTCAACTGCAGCTAGGTCCATCAATATGAGATTGAATCGGTGGATTTTAATGAATGGTTATTTGGTTTCATTATTATTGTTGACATAAATAAAAAGGTGTTTACTACTTCTTATACTGTTAAATATCAATGGGGCTAGTAATTTTTTTTAAT